TCGCTTCATTGTGTTCCGCTGTTCGATGATGACGATTACACGGAATGAAATATGCGGTTTCATCTAGCATACAAATTAAAGACTGTCGCTGAAGTTTGTTTCATCTACAAAACTTCAGATGTAATTCACTTGCGTCCTGTTCCTTTTTGGTTGGGAGTCGGGTCAGGTAGGGTACTGGAGAATTTTTATAAAGGTCAATACGAGAGGGTAGACGCCTTAAACAGGAGCGTGTGGACGGATGGAAGCGGCAAAATGATAGACTGGGATGCAGTGAATGTGGAAGGCCGTCTAGAATCTTATTGGCAAACTTAACACAAGAGTTGATGTTGCCAATATTGAGTCCTGTGATTAATGAATATATTAGGATTAATGGTGCACAACTGATTATCAACAAACCACGATTGATTGTTTTGAAGTCTTGATTTAAAAGGTCGGGTAAGACTACAGGTGAGTAATAGAGCAGAATGGCTGATACGCATTAGTGAGCGAAAGAGGACAGGATTGGTTGTGGTGTTCGGATGTGCCTGAGTTCGCGTAACTGAAAAGACAGGCTTCTCAGTTTTCCCATACAAATGTAAATGTGTGTGGACCAATGAACATTGCTGCCAAGTGACACCCAGGTACTTGATTGAGGTCATTCTGGATTCAGATTTGCGGTTAAGGGTAGCAGAGTCCGTTAGAAATGAGAAGCGGGAAAGACTGAAGATATACTCCATGTACTTGGAGGTGTTAAGACTGAGACCTAATTGATTGGAAAACTGTTGGATGTGGGAGAAATTTTCTTATAAGAAACGACATCGTCAGCATACTTTTGGGTGTGTGTAGGGGGTGGGACTGAAAGAATAATAATAAAGACAGCAGGAAATATAGAGATAGAACAGCGCCTTGAAGCATATCAGAATTATTAACACGAGGTTTTGATGTCCTCCCCAATTTAGTGCACTGGATCCTCTCTGTGAACTAGTCAGAAAAGCCTTAAGAGCAGCTGTCTCGGAGTGCCAAAAGATTCAAGTTTGAAAAGAATGAATGATCGAGGAACAGAATCAAACGCAGATAAATAGTCAAGAAAAACACAACGGAAAGATTTGACCGAATTGTTCAGTGATTCATTGATGAAATGGACTAGGGTGGATACAGCGTCCAGTGTCGATGTGTTAAGGTTGAATGCAAACTAGTCGGGATCCTGAGGGTTTCTGGTAATGGATCTCAAGCCACGCAGAATGACCTTTTCAGTCAACTATAAAACCGCAGAGGTCAGCTCGATAGTCTGAGCCGTTTTACAAGGACAGTTAAAGACAAGGATTTTGGTATTGGAGTAATGTAACTTGACACCAGGAATCAGGAATTGACCGGGAGGATGGACTCATTACCGACGAATGTAATCATATTGGTCAGGGANCTGCTCCAAGTTCCAGAAGTGCCGGAGGAAGACCATCAGAGCCTGCAGCTGAGGATGCTTTGGAGGATCGAGGAAGTTTAAAGATTTCATCATTGGAAAAAGGCACTGAATTGGTCTCATTGCATGGGAAGGAGAGAACCTGGCTCCCGTTCGACTGATGGATAAAGCGGCGTTGAGACTGTTTTCGTTCACCAGGGTTTGCAAGTGTTTTCTGTTCTGCCAACAGAAAAGGTGAATACCTTGCCATAAAATCCTTGGTGTTCT